CCGACAGTGAAAAGGCGCGCCGCGTGAAGGCGGTTGCTGATAAAGCTGTTGAGGAGCTCCGTGAGCGCCGCGCCAAGTGGGAATGTGGCCAGCTCAAGGAGGATGGCAAGGATGCTCGTTCTCCTGATATCAGCGAGCCCGATCTGAAGGAAGAGGTTGCTAAGAAGCGCCGCAAGGGCTTGACTGACAACGAGTTTGATGAGCTGTGGAAGGGCGCGATCGGAGAAGTCATTGACAAAGATGAAGTTGTCAGCAAGACCAAGCAGTAAGTTTCCCAACCCAGGAGGATCTTTCATATCTCCTTAGCTATGCTTATCGCTGTGGATATCCAAATCCAACAGCATATCTTACAAAGATCTGGTTCTGACATTGTGTCCCGGAACTAACAGAGGTGCCTTCGCAATTACAGACCTTCCGGTGACCTCGTCCTCTCCTCTACCTCCATCGCACGGCTCCCAATCACATGCGCCATCCGCCGTCACTTCCGACTCGCTCTCGTCGCGTATCGATTCCCTATTTCACTTCTAGTTCTGGTCATTGGTCTTATCGGTTATGCGCGCGCGCGTGTTCTAGCCCGCCGCTCTGATATGGCTCGTGTGCCAGAGCTGGTCGCTACGACTCTGGACCGTCTTTCCACCCAGGCTGCACTGTATGCCCATGGCAACGCTAAAGAGCCCTACATTGCCATTGGCCAACTCCGAGACGACGTCCTGCGGTTTGAACTCCAAGGCAAGCGCCGCGAGGAGCTCTGGCGTCGTGTCCGCAGCTTTGTTGAAGGCAACGCTAATGTCCGCGCCGCCGTCCGTGAAGGACGCAGCGGTGATGTTTCTCGATCCTGGGAGTGGATCGGTGGGATTAACCCTGTCAGTTCCCCGGAGCAGAGTTCCAGCCGAGAGAGTGTACGGTTCTCCCTTGGTTCTCCGCCTGATAATGCCGCGGCGAGCCCTCATACCCCTTCGGGCGAAATTAAACCGGAAACCGTTTCGAGCCCAAGAGAATCCCGCCGCTGGGACGAGGGTCGTCCGATCTACTGAACACCCAGACTCTGAAGAACCTTGGCACTCATGCACGCAGCTGGGCTGTTTTCGTTTTGATATCCCACCCCGTTATTTCTTTTTTACGAATGCGATACGGCTTTCCTTTCCGGGCTTTAGTCGTGTTGCCATCACCTTCTATTTCCTCAGTACATATTTCTTCCCGTGCATACCGATTTTATGGCTGCTCTAGCCCCATTTTGCTCAAATTCCGCTCTTCATGCTGTCCTCCGTAGTCTCGGCGAGTCTACTGTATGCAAGATGCATGAACTGTCCTTCGTACGATACATACATAGTACCGGTCATTGCCTAGCGCTAAGAACCCTGCATCACAGCGCAGCATGCATGCACCACTCCAACGGGCGTAGGAAACAAATACAGTAGCAACATTGGCGCAGTTCCTGCCCCCAGTATAGACGATCAGTATTCCAAATCACTGCAAATTGTCATCTTTCAATATCAAATCCCGAACTACAGCCTAATCCCGAAAAGCAATACCATGTCTATACAACCATAGCACAGGCTCTTACTTAACCGAGATATCACTTATCCCAGCATCGGCTCGACTCTAATGTTATAAGTATACACACATGGGCATAAGCTCAAACAAAAACGTAGAGTTAAAAAGACCAACAGTACTCTATGTACAGTGTACAATAACAAAACCGGCCTCGTGACCCCTGCATGCGAGCCTACAGTAGACACGAATAATACAAGCACAAATCAGCGTTAGCCCCGCAGAAAAAAAGCAATTTTGACACTCGTGTTAGGTTCACAATCTAGATTGCAATTTGAATTCATTCCGGATCCGGCCAAAGGCTAAATGCAAGGTGCAAAAGGGGGTCTCGTTCTCCTCGTTCTCACCCTTTATGTGACCCCCCTGTTACCGCCGCGAAGCACAGGTGTGTGCTGAGTTCACCGTTGCAGGGGATAAATCCATGTCGAGGCGTATATGTAGTGTAGTAGTATGCAGTAGTGTATACAGTAGTGCGGGGAGGGCGGGAGCCGGGCGAGGGCTGGTTTCTTTTTCTATAATTTGCACCAGTGTCATTTTTGTGTGTTTATTCTAACCTGGCAGTGATCTGTGATCTGTACTCTGTGATCCCTACGAACAGTACAGATGGGAGGGCTAATGCTGCTTAGAACAGGGGGTTGGTTGAAAGTATGAGCTTCCAATTGGAGCGTGAGATTTGGGAAGTATCGTTGGTGGGCTAGTTCGCCGGCACCAATGACTCTCATGTGTATTCCAGGGTATACTGTAATCATGGCCCCCCACTGTGGTTTGAAGACGGCGGCTGCGGCCGAGAGATATTGCTAGGGCCAATGAGGGATATGGCTGTATGGCTGTATATCAGAAGCTGTACAGTAAGAAACAGCACATGCACTAAGGCCTCGGCCGAGCACGTCCCATATTTGGCTTGTTAAAAAGTTCTCGGGGAACTGAGGGAGCTTGCGTGCACTATACTCGGTGGATGTACCTGTCCAAGGCTGGAAAGGAGTATCTTTGTGGCGAATTGCATTTTGACCGCTTCTTGGGGATCGCCAGAGACACCTCTCAGGTTGCAAGCAATGGGAGTGGAGCAACCAGTGTGGAAGGAGTAGACTTTTTTTTTTTTTTTTTCCGCGAAAGTGGAATACTCACAGGCCCCCGCTGGGGCCAGGTGGCCTTGTTTAAACTAAATCAAGTGAGTACTGTATATATCGACTTTGTTCAGGAGATATGGAGACCCTCCTCTCTTGCGCCTATGATTACTGTGGCGTACTTCGTGTTAGGCTGGCAATCACGTACGTAGAGTGGCGAGGAGCGACGATCAGTGTAATGTTAAACGAAATCTAGTGGAGGGTAGTGGAGAGAGCTAGGGTTGCGACAGTTCACGCCCCCTTCTGGGGACCAAGATCTGTATAGCTTCAGTGTCTTGGGCCGGAACATGTAGTTGGTCAGGTTGTATTGGCCAGCCAATGCCAGAGTTTGCTCGGCAACCGAAAAACGAAACATGGTGAATGGCGCGGAAGTATTCTCCCCGAGATCATGGGCCGTTAGGGTGACAGCCGCACCAAGATTTGACTCCCAGCGGTGAGGGTAATGTTTAAGTTAATCGTACTTGAGTCGGCTCTTGGGCCTTTCTTTTGGGATTAGCCCTGGTCCATTTTGTTCATGCTCATGCATAGTGAGGTGCGGTGAGGCACGAACAATGGATTGCCTCGAGGGTTTCCTAAATTGGAAGACAGGGGACGTATCGACACCAGTCAATGGCCATGAAATAAGGTCCACATGCCTATCGAGGGTCATTTTGGCCCTTGAATTCCAGTGTCTGTCCGTACAGTACACGGAGTACGGAAGTACGGAGTATGTACTTCCGCACTTGGCCCTAAATTGGCGCTATTGCTGCGTCCCGCTCTGTCTTAGTGTGATCTACGGGTGTTCCTGGGCAAGTGTCACTTGCAACTCAATCTGCGTGCTAACCATGCGCTTCTTGCGGATTGAAAACATACATGTAGTGGTTAGTAGTGCTTATGCTTAGACGCGGATGAGGTGAGACTTTGCAGAGACCAACACGAGCCCTGGATCAAAAACACGCGCATGGAATTTGACCCAGTCGACTTCGACATTTCACGAGCCACATGTCAAGTCCATATCGTAGGTCTGACGGCATAAGCCCGAAGGATACCGGAGCCCGCTTTCTGGCCATCATTGCGCCGGTGGTGGCGAATCTCCCAAGCCCCTCATAGCCGTTGGCTATCATTCGACGCTTAAATGCGGGAGTAGCTCACGAAATTCCAAAAGCGCCGTCTGCTGCGGTGACAGCCATGGACTGCCTACCTTCAGACCGATGGTGGTCCAGACAATATGATAAATAAACGTACCATGGAAATAACTTATATGGTAGCTCATGCGGCTTAAGTGTGAAGTGGTCACAAGTCCTCGTAGAGTGGCAAACAGCCACAGTGGGTTCGATACGCTTTGGTGGGGTTCGAACTCGGTGGATAATGTCAAGGTGGCGATATTTCCAGGGGGTTACTGGGCCTAAGCTCCGAAGATTAATTGCGCTGGGATTGGAACCAGATGAATTCTCCGGCCCTTTGCGTACCGAGTTATGCAGATGGTTTTCTTCAGCAGAAATGAGAGAGATCTTCGAAGCCACATTCTGGAACAGGAAAAAGGGAAAAAAAAAAAAAAACCGTTCGACTCCATTCTGTACTTCGTGTACTAATAGTTTTTTTCGTTGGAGTCACGGGTTCCGCCATGCCCTGTTTGACATCTATGTCCGAACAACTATCAAGACCTTTCCGGACCAAGTCCTCGGCTCTATTTTTACCTGTTAACTCTTGGGCTCTGGGGATTTCAACCTGGATTGTACGATGACGGGTACTTCGGAGTTCGTTTCCGCTCTATGTGATAGGGTCAAAATAGGCCAGTCTCCACAGAATCATGATTCTACAAAGGAATCCAGACCTTATAAGAAGATCGTCGATGGCACTTCCTCTGTAGATGATTGGTCTATCTGGGAATCAATTATTGGGTATTTGAAAGCCTCAGGTGTCTCTTTTCCAGGTTGCCCTGTGACTATTGGATTCCCTGCCAGATGGATCAAATCGCATTCCCGGTTCCTGAAGATAGCTCTCGGTTCTTACCTAGGTAGACTTACCTTTATTTGGGAATGTCAGCGTCTGAAGGCCCACATCCGCCACACACGCCAGCATCCCTCGTGTCCCCTCATTCCTTATTCTTCCCTATTTTCCCTTTTCTGGTGCTCTTTTCCCCCCCACTTTGTCTCTAGGCAGAGTTCTTTTACTGCAAAGAACAATCGTGGCCCGAAGGCCCCCCCTCTTTTCTATAATTTTCTCCAATTCATGGTCCGTCCATCTTCGATGTGATTTGCTTGCTTGTGCTTATTATCATGCTGTCCAATGGTGGATAGCCAGATAGTGTTTCGCTTTTGATCTTATATATTTGCCTTTTCTCTTCTAGCCGTTCCGTCTCTCTGCACAGAACTTGATGGCCGACACATCTCGGGGCCTTCGGCCTCTCGCACCGCGGACTTCTATGGGAGCGAGCGGGGGAGGCGCAGGAAGTGATAGTCCTGGAGGAGGCGACGACAGAGACAGACGAATGAGACGAGCATCGACGGCCTGTACAGAGTGTCAAAAACGTCGGACTAGGGTATAACCCTTTCCCTTCTACCCTGACTCCGTGGCCGAACCAAATTTGACATTTTTTTTATTAGTGTAGCGGCCATCCTCTATGCGATGAATGCAGGACCCATAACCGCGAGTGCTTTTTTGATGAAGCCAATGACAGACGTCGCAAGGCCTCTGCGAGGAGAACGCAAGATCAGTTGGAGTACTATCGCAACTTCACCGAAGATCTCATCGCCCTTCTCCGGGATAGTGATGAAGCGACAGTACAACTGATCATCAGCACCATCCAATCCGGTGCGGAGAATGGAAACCTGCGAGAGTTGCTCAACCGCCTCATAGACGATGTCGATGGCGACACAGGTTCCAATACGATCATTTATTACGATCCCAACCAGCCTCGCTGACCGGAATCCTCCCGGTCCTGGTCGGGCAATATCGCATGGATCTCCGGACGAACCCGCCCCTTCGAGCCCTCTGGACAATTCGACAATTCGACAATTCGGATATTGGATGGCTGCTTTCTCGGCAATTTGGATGACATTGGTTGGTTGTTTTCTAGCGTTTCCTTTTATAGTCATATGCGTTGCGTTCACTCCGATTAGGGCTGAAGCAAGTCACTTGGAAAACAATCACACCCTCTCGGGTGTATCTTTGTTTGCATTGCCATATCTTGCATACTGGGATTCAGCATAAACCAAGTTGTTCTTCTATTGCCAGCCCTAGCCTTGTACTTTCCTTTGTCCACGCCGTTCCAACACGAACCCTAGAGCTCGAGAGCCAAAGTCCGGGTCGACAAGGGTGAAATCCATATCCTAACCTAGCTCATCTTCGACCTCTCGTCTCGGTGATTTCGCGATCAAACGTACCGGTTGATGTCCACAGTTTGGGGGCCATCTGGTCCCTTCGCCGACTTACATTCCCAAGGAAGAAAACAGGTATTCGAAAACCCTATGGTCTGATTCACGGAGTGATCTGGGCTTTACGTCAAGAGCCCCTCGAGTCTATTTTTCGGTGACCGATTGCATGTTGTGGCGAACGACCTCAGTCCCTCGTTTCAACCACCCTATGTTCAGCCCTGTAATGGTCAGCCTCATTAGTCGACATCTGGTAGCCTGTACTCTGCTCTCATCGACTTTCCGTCGTCGCTACTCCGCCAAATAGTTCTAGGCGATAGTCGTCGATGAGTATAAGCTGATGGGAGCTTTTCCAACTGGCTTGATATATCTGTGGCACTACAACTGGTATGATCAGATCAATCTGGCTGCGCTCGGGTTGAGATACGAGCAGAATATTGGGTGATGCCCGTTTACGATGTTGTTTGATCTTTTGTTTACTTGTACAAACCCGATGAACACGATGACAGGGTTTGTGCTGTTGAGATCTCTGCAAAACATTCATATGGAGTTCTGGATGCTGTCAACATTGGTCCTTACAGATCTACATATGTAATCTCAAGCCTGTAGATGCGTTTCGACGTCGTAAACGTATGGCCCTCAATCGGATCTCTTCCGACCACTATATCGTCAAGCTCGGCGTACCAGCCTGGAAATCAGGGCGCTAGGGTACATAGAGCCAACGCTTTCATGATTTCCCCGTCATGCCACTATAAACACCATATCTAGACAATATATGTTCGGGATTTCCGGCCCCGGGGGGTCTCCGCGCCGACCGGAGTCTTGCCGAGATCCTTCTTACCCTCGGATATTACTCCCCAATTTCCTTTTCCGTTTCATTTTCCTGTGAGACGCCTTAGAGACTTGAATATAATCGTCCTGCGCTTGGCGCTCCGATATTAGCAATGACTAGCGTGACCACGGACGCATCTCCTCAGTCCGGGATCCAAGATGAACCTACTGCGCCACCGGACTTGACATCTACTTCCAGTCGCAAAAGAAAAGCCTCCGAGCTATCGTCAAATAAAGAAGGCCCTACTACACCCCGTCAAAAGATTACACGAGCCTGTGACTCATGCAAAGTAAAGAAGACCCGCTGTACGGGCACTCTGCCATGCACCAGGTGTACACGACTATCGCTACCATGCAAGTACAACGCCGCTTACTCGCGCGGGCTACCGCCGGACCCTCTACCTGCATTACCCAGTCCACTCTCAACTCCTATGGGCCGGCGTACTTCAGAAGCTGCAAGCGCGTCTAACAGCCCCCATATGTGGGCGAGTGCAAGAGATTCGGCCGTAACAAACAACAAGTCGCTTCCAATCTCGAGCCAGCACCATGCAGTGTCATCGCGAAACTCACCCGAACCAGGATCTACGGATTTCGAGGGCAATTACCTCGGCCCTGCGTCGGGTGTGTCGTTTATCAATCGCGTCTGGAGTCGTCTACACCAGGATGAGACCACGCACTATCCCGATGAACTTCAAAATGAATCATCACGGAATACGGCTGTCTTTATGTTTGGCGATAAGCCGTATTGCAATTCCCCAGAGGTGGACTTTACGCTGCCATCTTTTGAGAAGGCCATGGAACTGGTTGGCATCTACTTCGATTTCTCCATGGTGACTTATCGCTTCGTGCATAGAGGCAATGTTGAGGATTGGACTAGACAGCTTTACCAGAGTAATATTTCGCTCTCTCATCTGCCGGTGGGGAACATGGTTGCTAGAACTGCTGTTGTTCTCATCATCTTTGCTGTGAGTACTTTGTACACGGAGCTTCGGCCAGATGGGATGCCAGATGGGATGCCTGATGGGCGTAGTGAAAGGTGTGTGTGTCTCTGACAGAAAATCGGACTGGTTGTACTGATATTTGGCAGTGAACGCTGGTATGCAGCTTCGAAATACATGACCTCTCTTGAGTCAGGACCACCGAGACTGGAAACAATCCAAGCTCGACTGGGCCAATGTCTTTACCTACTGTCATCTTCGCGGGCCAACGAATGCTGGTATTCATTTGGCACCACTATGCAGGTCGTTACAGCTCTCGGGTTGCACCGAAAATGGCCTGTCAAAGTATCGAGGAAAGGATGCTCCTATCTGGAACTGGAGCTGCGCAAGCGCATCTTCTGGAGTGTATACATTTTAGACAAATATCTCAGCATCATGTTTGGACGACCTCGACTACTACATGACGAGGACATCGACCAAGACTTACCAGACGAGACGCACGATGATGACTTGCTGGAAGAGGACCCAACAAGACGAACAGGATCTACAGATAGCATGATGATCGCCTCTGTGCTTCATTACCGGTGAGCCTTGTATACACCAACTCAAAGAGATACACATCTAAGACAAACACAGACTCGGCCGCATCCTCGGCGACATATCCCGCCAACTATACAGCATAAACACCCCAACCTGCGACTCGCCTCTAGAAACTGCCATCAGGCTAACCTCCGAACTCGAAAAATGGAAAGAAACAGTCCCACCACTATTCAATAGCGTCCGCCCATCAAGCCTAATCCCACCCCTCTGTCGACAAAGCCAAGTCCTGCAACTCGCCTACTCACACGCAATGATCCACGTCACGCGTTCATTCCTCCTAACCGACTTTACAGACCTAAGCCGCAGACCCAAAGTCCCACACCCAATGGTCAGCTCTCATGTGCAGAAATGTATACAGGCCGCCGAGGATATCATGACTATCGTTGATAGTCTCGCGCAACAAGGTGTTCTGATTCAATCGTTCTGGTTCACGCACTATGTCTGCTTCTGTGCAATTTTGGTGGTTTATATTCATACTATCCAGCAACATCGGGGATCGCTGGGGGGAAGGCCAGGGTCAGCGGCCGGGGCTTCAGTTTCTTCTGTAGGAAGTCCCGGTGACCCGGATAAATTGCGGCAGCTGTTTTCTCTCGCGGAGACTTGTCAGCAACATCTTGCGGAGGCTACGCGGAAGAATTGTCCGAGTCGGCGGTATGGGATTATTCTTGAGGAGCTTCGGCAGGAGGTTCATCGACAGATTGGGACTAATGAGCTCTCTACCGATACCAAAGCACCCTATCTCAATGGAGATGGTGGTTCTGAGGCATCGGAAAGTGGCAATCATCATGGGGCTGTGCCCTTTGATACTCATACGGTGGATCTTCCCTCCATATCGGGGATGATGCAGCCTGCCGATCTGTGGATGAATACAGGAGAGGATGCAGGGTTTCTTGAGAGCCTTGAGGGATCAATATGGTGGGCTCAGCTTGATTCGTGGGTATGTATTTCCTGCAATCTCTTCGGTGATATTCTTGACTAACTCTTGCTTCTAGGCCTTATCTAATTTCCCTAATGACCCTTCTACATGCAACTTCTGAGGACAAAAACTACTGTGGTATGCGAGTTTCGTAAACTTGTGTTCAAAAACCAATTTATTCTCTGTCACATTCTGAAGATTCTGGCCCAAGTCATACCATATCCCCTTGATCATTCTCGGCTCCGATGCTCAGTAGCCCTCAACTCTGCATGAAGGGACGATGAAGATTTTCCAGATACTCGTCAAATCGTGCCGAGACCTTAATAACATCTCTAAGATGCTCATATGTGAGGATTTTCTTCTGCCACTTGGCATACTGACGAGCGGTGGTAATGGCATTCCGGATTTGCCGACCATTCAACCTCTCCTTCTTGAGCACATCCAGATTCATGCGCAGATCATGGATATCAACAGAATCAGCTTCAAACCCCCACAACCGCTCAATGAAAGTCTCCCAAATGAGTCGTCGCTGGTCCTCGCCCAGACTGGGGTAGTGCAGTGCCAGCTGGATTCGCGACTTGAATGCATCATCAAACGTACCTACCCGGTTCGTGGTCAGGATTAGAATCCCCTCGAAGTATTCCACCACTCGCAAGAATGCCGATACGAGCGCATTCCGGTTCAGATCTTCCAGCCCGCGCTGCTCGAGGAATACGTCTGCCTCGTCGAGTAGCACGACGCAGTTCCATATCTTTCCCAGGTGGAGAACAGACTCAAGGTACTTCTCAATCTCTTCAGGCTTGGTGCCCACATCGCCGCAGGTGACACGGTAGAGGGGTCGCTCTGCTATCTCGGCGACACTCTCTGCAGTCAGTGTCTTGCCTGTTCCTGGGCCGCCATGTAACAGCAGCATGAGACCATTGCCCTTGCCTGCAATTAGATCTGCCGAGTACTCGGATTCAAGGTGGTTGGTGACAAGTGCTTGGATCAGGTCTCGGGATTTGGATTCGATGGCTAGACTCTTGAAGGCTTCTTTGTTCCAGATTACATCGGAGATGCGGTCTGTGCAGAGCTTGAACCATTTCTTGCGCCGAAGGTTGAACCCAACAATCCTGGGAGGCATCAAGAGCTGGAATGTCTCATCTGGGGGCGAGTCTCTGGCCATGGCTCGGTCATCAAGCATGCTTGTACGTGTAGGTTGAGGCGTGGGGACTGGATGCAATCGCTGGTACGTTTTCATGTCTATTATGTATCGGTCATCGGCCTGGTTGCATTGGTCAGTTCTGGCTTTCCAATTATAAGATATTGAAACAGCGTTTGGATACATACCATAGTCTGGAAGTTTTCTTCCTCTGTAGCATGATAGGACACATATCGATATGCACGGAGTTTCCAGAAAATCTCTCCACGTCTCCGAAGCATCTGGACAAGCTCATTTGATGCGTACTTGATCGGGAATACAGCAAGGTCTGTGATAGCATACTCTTTGTCCGAGTTGCTCTGAGCTGAGGATGAGTCCTCAGCCGCTTCTTCGTTGAATGATTGAACAATTGGGTCATCATGCGGAGTCCAGCGTTGATAACGGCGCTCTTTTATGGCGTTCTGTGGTTCTGGCGTCTGGAATTCAAGAGTGCCCCATCTTTTACAAAAGCTGCCATCAAAATCCCAGGTCTGGCCCCTAACAGTCCAAGAGGAAAACCCAAGATAGCCCTCATGTTGAAGTGGCCAGTCTACCGCAATATATCCCGTGTATTC